CTGATGGTGGCCTGAATGTTTGGCATGCATCCGGCAACTTGCACCAGCGAACCAATACCGTCCCATGTGCCCCCCTCCCCCCTGCCCTCCCCCTCCTGCGTGTGGGAAGGCGCGGGGAGTGAGCCAAGTGCACTCATCAGGCAGCCCGAGCCGGGTTCGAGCCGAGGCGACTGAGCCGAGCCGAGCCGCGCCAGCGCAGCGCTGCTGTTAACCTGAAATCCGTTTCGGACAAAAAGACGACGCGAATGTAACAGGAGCGGGGGCCCGGTGCCCGGTGCAGCCAGCCCGCCCGGCCACCGTTACCCTGCCGATGAGGGCATGTTGTGTTGCCCCCGCCGCCCCCTCCTCCTCCGGCCCCCTCCGGCCCCCTCCGGCCCCCGCGGGGTATCCTCCGGCTCCATCGCACTGCCAGCCGTGTGCCCTCTAAAAGGGCGCATGTGCGGATGGGCTGCTGGCTTTACGATTTGGCGCGAAAAAACAACAGCAAAACAAAAACAACAGCAGCAGCGGAGAGGCGACCAAAGCGAGTGGCAACGGGGAGGGCGGATTTGGCTGCGTCATTAGAGAGGCGGGGTGCAGCGTGAGAATTCATTACGAAGAAATGACGGCACGGCGGTGGCGATGATGTGTGTGCACACTGTGCACAGCGCGCTGCACCCGGACGCCCACTAGTGCCGCCTAGCGCGGCAGCGCGGCCCTCAAACCGGCCGGCCGGCCAGGCAGGTGTTAAACTGTTAAACAGGCGGGCGGGCGTGTGCCCACAGCCATCGCCACTCACCCACTCCAAGCAGGCTAGATAATTTGTGTTTGCGTTCCCATTATTTTTGGTTTCGGCGTAACAACGTTCTTAGCCGGTCGGAAAGTTCTGGGACCAAAGTGAATTAGTTTTTTTCCATTGTTACTCTAATTTGTTTGTCTCGTTCGTGAGTTGGGCTGCGAGGGAAACGATTTTCAAATTGAAACGTCAAAAGTTCAGAAACGTTCCATTCCAGCCCGCGAAACGATTTGTGTGTCAACGGCGCGAGTCAGAGAAATCGCGGCGGAAAGTGCTAAAAGATGACGCACGCGGGGCAGGCCGTCGGGCCAGCATGGCCAGGATGCGAGGCGAGTGTCCATGAGTGGCGCGGCCGGGACCGTCCGTGACGCGACGCAGCTACCGGTCATAGGCCGGGCGGGGCGGGGCGGGGCGGGGCGGGGCGGGGCGGGGCGGGGCGTCCACGCTCTGGCTGGCGCGGCTAGCCTTACCTGCCCGGTCGCTTTACAGTGGGCCCCGGACAATGCAGCGTCCGGAGTCCAGAGTCCGGAGGCCACATTACATCTCGTTTAGGGCCTCCGGGAGACAGGACGCCGCGAGCGCCGCAACCAGCACTGCCGCCTAATCCAGTGGTTCTCAACCTTAGGGTCGCGACCCCAAGTGGGGTCGCGTAAAAATTTTAAGGGGTCGCGGCGAGGTAGCTGGGGTCGTGTTTTGGGCCGATTTTAAGCAGCCACTGCGTCTGATCCGAGGCGGGCATTTTGCTCCCTCAACCGGCAATTGGTCTTTGAACCTTCCTTTAGCATGCCTTTGTTACGGAGTGTGATTATCAGTCTTAGTTTGGGAGCAGTATTGTCTCAAAGTTTACCAAAACGGTCAGAAATGTCTTTGAAAAATCGTGTTTTGGGCCTATTTTAAGCAGCCACTGCATCTGACCCGAGGCGGTATTTCGTCCTCCTTCAACGGGCAATTGGTCTTTGGACCTTCTTTTAGCATGCCTTTGTTACGGAGTGTGATTATCAGTCTTAGTTTGGGAGCAGTATTGTCTCAAAGTTGGCCGAAACGCTCAGAAATGTCTTTGAAAAATCGTTGTGCCTGTTTTGGTCAACTTTGAGACAATACTGCTCCCAAACTAAGACTGATAATCGCATTCCGTAACAGAGGCATGCTAAAGGAAGGTCCAAGGAACAATTGCCCGTTGAGGGAGCAAAATGCCCACCTCGGATCAGACGCAGTGGCTGCTTAAAATCGACCCAAAACATGATTTTTTAAAGACATTTCTGAGCGTTTTGGCCAACTTTGAGACAATACTGCTCCCAAACTAAGACTGATAATCGCACTCCGTAACAGAGGCATGCTAAAGGAAGGTCCAAAGAACAATTGCCCGTTGAGGGAGCAAAATGCCCACCTCGGATCAGACGCAGTGGCTGCTTAAAATCGACCCAAAACATGATTTTTTAAAGACATTTCTGAGCGTTTTGGCCAACTTTGAGACAATACTGCTCCCAAACTAAGACTGATAATCGCACTCCGTAACAGAGGCATGCTAAAGGAAGGTCCAAAGACCAATTGCCCGTTGAGAGAGCAAAATGCCCACCTCGGATCAGACGCAGTGGCTGCTTAAAATCGACCCAAAACATGATTTTTTAAAGACATTTCTGAGCGTTTTGGCCAACTTTGAGACAATACTGCTCCCAAACTAAGACATATAATCGCACTCCGTAACAGAGGCATGCTAAAGGAAGGTCCAAAGACCAATTGCCCGTTGAGGGAGCAAAATGCCCGCCTCGGATCAGACGCAGTGGCATGCTAAAGGAGGGGTCCCGTGGGGTCGCGAAACTTTTCCTGGGGGTCGCGGAAATTTTTGGCTACAAATTTGGGGTCGCGAGCCGAGAAAGGTTGAGAACCGCTGGCCTAATCCGCCGCGATCGGCCGCGGGTAATGCACCCTCGTCTCGTTTTCGGGGACGCCGAGGAGACTGAAGACCGGGGACCGGAGCACGACGTGGAGAGGCGTATGGCGCCTTCCGCGGGCCGCGAGGGAGGAGGGGGGGGGGGAATCGTCCACACGATAGCGGCACCTCCGGCCTAGAGGCCACGCCGTGTGCGCCGCGCTCCGCCCCGCCCGTTCGAACGGAACAAATCGAACACGCCTGCAGTGCAGTGCCTGCCGTGCCACCGCGCTTGCAGTGCTGCAGCGCGCGCGTTCATCGGGGAACGCAAATACGGCGAGATACTCGCGCCGACGCCGCCAGCAACCACCAGCAGCAGCAGCCGGCACCGCCCCGCCTGGCCCCGCGTCGCGCGATCATTGAACACCTCGCCGAGACACATCCCGGCAAAAACAAACGCCGTAATTAACCTTGCAGCGGGCGAGGCGCGGCGCGGCGTGGCGTGGCGCGAGGCACTAGGCGAAGGGCCGGCAGGGCCGCCAACACGATTTTATGTGAAACGTGACGACCCTTCAGGCCGATAAGAGCGAGCAAGGCGGAGCAAGGCGAAGCAAGGCGGGGCTGTTAGGTTGGCAGCCCTGCGCGCGCTCTCTCACACACACACCAACACACTCGCAAGCCCCGTGTGGTGTAAAATGGCTTAGCAATACTCTATAACGGGAAACGCAGAGGACTCCAATATACCGCGCTGTTTGTTCGTGTGCGTGTCTGCACGCTGTTGCCGAAAGCGCCGGTTCGTCGCTGTGTCTCTCTCGCACCCCTACGGAGCGTCGCAGGAGTGCGACAGAGACAGAGACAGAGTCTGGCGGTGCCTGATCGGGGGATGCGCACCTCGCGGCTGCAGGCGCGGATTGTTTTTCCTAGGCAGCGCCTTGCATATCGGCTTCCGAGGCAGTGCCGCGCCGCACCACGCCGCGCCGCGCCAACCCACGCCACGCCGCGCCACGCCGCGCTTATTGCCCGGCCGTCAAAGTCCAAGTGAACATCACTTTGCCGTGGAAAAGGTCGTAAAAACCGTCCGGACCGCCGCGTTCGAAGCGGCGAGAAAAAATGGAGGGACGCAGCCTCTTTGCGGGTGGGCCTCTCCGACTGCCTCTCGGCCGCGTCGGCGTGCTCGGCGTGCTCGGCGTGGCGCTGACGTCATGGTTGTTGTTTTGCTAAAACGGCCAGGGCGGCTAGGCGACCTGATGCAGCAGCACGGGTCGCGGAGCGCGGAGCACCAGTCATCCTCGCGATGCGCCTGGCCTGGCCAGGGCCTAGCCGAGCGAGAGGAAGAAGAACCGACGGCGGCAAATTGGAGAAATGGCCGCCGTCGACGCCGTCCTGCCTTTTCGTCGCAAAGTGGCCGCTGGCCGCCACCGCCACCTCGTTGTCGTTCTGGGAAGCGTCGTGGTCGTCGCGCCGCTCCAGCGACACCGCGCGAGCCGGGCGGCCGCCGTGCCGGGTAGGCAGCCGGCGCACACGCGCACACACGCGCAGGAGGGTGGCCTACCCCGCACGGCGGTCGCGCCCCCCATTACCATTAAAGGCTAGGCGGCCGCGTCCCCCGCTGGCGGCAGGCTGGTCGTACTGGCCCCCTTCCCTTCCTCTCCTCGGCCGCCGTCGCGTCGTCCAGCCGCAGGAAAAATAGAGCCCGCGAGATTAGAAGGCGTCGGAGCGCCTTACTGTCCCCAGTGACTGGGCCCAGTCCCCACAATGGACACCGCGCCGCGCGCCGCCCTAGCCGCGCCAGCCGCGCCGTGAGACACATACCGATGCTCCGAGATGCGAGATGCGGTCCCGATAGCGTCGGGACGCCGGGAAGGGACGCCGGGACGCGGTCAGGAGAGGGGAAATAATAAGCGGTTTATAAACGCTCGGCGACGTACGCGACGAGACGGTCGTGTTGGCCGGGGCGTGTCTCTTTCTCTCTCACACACACACAAACACACAGCGGCAGGCAGGGCACCGGCTGCACCGTGAGGGGCTTTAATTCACTGCCACTATAAAATAATTGACGTTATCGCTGCATCGCGTCATACAGCTGCAAGGGCTGCAGCAAGGGCGGTGCGATCCGCCGGGCTGGCGGGCAGGCAAGCCGGCAGGCCGTGGGGCCTATAACAGCACTATCTGGGGCCGGCGCGTGGCGTGCCCTGCCCTGCCCTGCCCTGCCCTGCCCTGCCTGCAGGCCGCGCCTCGCATGACCTACCTGCACGGCCGCGGAGGACCATCCGGCCCAATTTGATAAGGCGCTACGCGTCGCGTCGCCCCGCCCCGCCCCGCCCCGCCCCGCCCTGGGTGCCTTCCTCGGCTTACCTTGATCATCCCCGGCGGCTGGAACGGCCGCTGCTGCTGCTGGCGGTGCTCCTCCTGCCGATGCTGCTGCTGCTGCTGCTGCGGATGGTGGTGCTGCTGGCGGTGCTCGATGACGGCCGTGTGCGCCACGCTGTCGTGGACGCGGACCTGGTCGGCGGCCACCTCGCGCGCCTGCTCCGAGTCGCTCGAGTCGCCTGCGAAAATGCAGCAAAACAACGTTTCAGGACCGTTTCGCGCAAGTTTTCACGAGCGTAAATATATCGCCACTGGGGTTCTGCTGCAGCAAGAACCCGGTCTCCCGTGTGTGATTACGCCGGAGACCTCAACGCGCGGCGAAAATGGAATACGGATCCAGGATGGCGTCGGCGTCGCTGTGGCTGCGGAACGAATCCGGTGAGCACGGCGGCCACGGCGGCCACGGCGGCGAGGTGTGGCGGCTGGGTACGGGTACGGGGTACCGGGTCAGAGTGCGGTGGCGCGGCGCGGCGGGCGTGCTCATCAGCGTCGCCATTATCACCGGCGCCATCACCCTGCTCATCGCGACCGAGGCCCCAACGACGTACCGCAGCAGCAGGCCGGGCTCCACGCGAGGCTCCCAGTGCAGGCGGTGCAGGCAGTGCAGGCGGTGCAACGGGACCGCGTCGGCAAAAGGCAGGCAGGGCGCCCGGGGGCTGAGCAAGCACCCAACTGACGCCTTTTTTTCTCGTTTTTTTCTTCGTCTTTTCGTCCTCGCTGATGCTGCCGCCGCGATGCGACCCCGAGCTCATCTAAGCTCATCACATCAGCGCGGCCATATCGCACATCGCCGAGCTCGTCGTGCGCTCCACCGCAGCGCCCTGGCCGGGCCTGGCCTGGCCTGCCACGCCGCGGCTAAGTAGTCCGGCCCGCACACACACACTCACACACGGAGAGGCGCCCTGCTCCCACGCTCTTACCCCGTGTCGCCCCGCTACCGCCATTCTCTCCGCCCTTCCCGGGGCACGCCGCGCCACGGCCACGCCACGGCCACGCCATTGTTTATCGTGACAGAGTTTAACAAGAGTGTTACCCACCAGCCCCGACCGCCCCGACGGACTGCCCGGCCCCCGACAGCCCCCGGCTCCAACACACGCCACCTTCTTTACGACCGTTTGTTCGAGCTTCGAGTTTCGAGCTTGGAGCTTCGAGGGCTTGGAGCCACCGCGGGCACCGCGGGGCCGATCACCCTTCATAAGCCCGCTATCACGCCTCACGCGCCTTGCTGAACTTACACTTCGGCCGCGCGACGGAACGTGGGACGTGGGGCGTGGGACGAGCGAGAGGCGGTTGAAAGTGCCGCCCGCCCCGCGCGGCCCGGTCAGCCGACAGTGCAGCCAGGATCGGAAAACTACTCATAAACTTGTAAGACAATCTGCCGAAATATGTAACGAAATCAATCCACACTTGGTATTTCATTTCAATTCGCCCTTCTTCCCGCGTCCTTCTGGCCCGCCGCAACAGCCAACAGGTGGCCGTCCGCAGAGCTAGACTGCTAGACGCGACAGGTGCTCTTGTCGGCGGCGAGGAGTGCGTTCGTGCGTCGTGCGTGCGTGCGTTCGGGTTCAATGGGTGCCAGGCGGGGCCAGGCGGGGCAGGCGGGGCAGGCGGGGCCGGGGGCTCGCGTGTGTTGCAGCCTGTCCCCGTGTTGCAGCTTGCTTGCGGCGCTGAGTTGGGAGCCGGCAGCTGCGTTTGTCTAGGGGAGCGAGCAGTGACGGCGACCGCGCCTCATTCCTAAATCCGAGCGCCGTCTCTGTCGCACTCACTGGCCGTTCCGACCGGTGCGAGGGAGACAGAGCGACAAAAGCTCTGTTCGGAATCAAACTGCCGGCCGCGCCCCGCCCAGACTATCCCGATTAACGTCAGCGAATAACAGAAGAGCAATGCAAGTCGAGTGACTCTGCGCCGCTCCGCGAGTCGGCGCGCGCAGCGATGCGTGCCTTGGTTCCCATGGGCAGGGCGAGGGGCGAGGCGAGGGGCGAGGGGAGGGGCGAGGCGAGGGGCGAGGCGAGGGGCGAGGCGAGGGGCGAGGGGCGAGGGGAGGGGCGAGGCGAGGGGCGAGGCGAGGGGAGGGGAGGGGAGGGGGCCGCGGGAGGCAGTCTGCGACAAACAGATCCGACCGTCCGAGGGGGCGGTCCGCGCTGCCGGTCCAATTCCCCATCAAATCAACAAGTCCGAAATAAAAAGCGCGCCGTCTGTTCGCTCGTATTCCGAGTGCTTGGTGGATTCGCGCCGCCGGTGGCGTAGCCGGCGTGGTGCGCGCTGTGACGCAGCCAGGACGACGCAGCCAAGCGCCGGGCGGTGGCCGCCAAGAGGAGAGTGGTGGCCGGGGCAGCCAGGGCGTGGCGGCGTGCAGCGCGGCACCGTCGCGTCGCTCCGCACCGCGCCCCGCGCGGCGCGGCCGGCCCAATTTTGAAAGGAATATCTCGTCTTTGGCTCGGAGGGAAAGGAAAGGAAGCGGCAGCGGGATGAAGCCGTCGTTGTCGTTCCCCGCGACGGCCAGGGGACGTCCACGCGGACCCCGCGGCCAGGCGGCCCGCAGCCCGGCGCTCTGTCTCTGTCGCACCCGCGCAGAGTGCCGCGTGAGTGCGACAGAGACAGAGCGACGAGACGACTCTTCTGAATCGCTCGGCTGACATGAGATCAATTACTCGGTTAGTCCGGCTGAGTGCGGCGGGGACGGTCCGGACGCCAGGAGAATGAGAATGCGAGCGCGGCCGCGCGGGGCGGGGCGGGGCGGGGCGGGGCGGGGCTTCCTGCTGCTGTCCCTTGTGCCCCACGCTGCGCTGCTCCGCGCCGTGCCGTGCCTCGCCGAAGATGAGAAACCACCCATGAGCCTAACGGGCGGCGGGGCGGCGCGCAGCACAAGCGCATTGCAGCATTGCGACGCGGCGATCCAGGCGAACGAGTCCCCAAAGGAGTGCGGTCCCCACCGCCCCGCCCCGCAGCCCCGCAATTGCCTTACAAAGGTCCAAACGCCGAAAGAAAGAAAAACCTGCTTTTTTCAGTTTCTCCGCACTTGTAAAAGTTGGTTTTCTGATAAACGTTTTTAAATCTACTACGCATGGTATGAAAAGTGACACCCACAGACCCATTCCATCTCATTTTCTGCTGTAAGTGCGGCTGATTTTCCACCTAGTTCCTGGGGAATCGCACACGACCTGGATGGGCCGCGGCCTGAAGGTCCTGAAGGTCCCGAAGGTCGGCCGGGTGCCTCCATGGTGTCTCCATGGTGCCTTGTTCTCGTGTCATGCGCCGTGACACCGTAAAGTCTTTCGCCGGCGGCGGAAACGCGGTGCACGCGACGTACAGCGCGGTACAGTTGAAGCGGCCCGCGTCCGTCCTCGTCGTCGCGGCCCTTGTCGCGGCCGCCCTGGCAGGCTGGCAGCCCTGGCCGTCACCGCGGCGTCCCACGGCGAGCCGCGACGCGCCCGCCAGGCCGCTGGGTCCTCCTTTCCTTTCTAAGTCCGGAGGACAACGACAACGGTCCCGTCCTGCCAGGGACTTCCGTCGAGCCTTTGTGGGCCTGTTCGGCCACTCTGAATGCTACTCACCGTCCAGGTCCATGGGGTCCAGGCCCAGGTCCGGCGCGGAGATGGGCACCACGTTGCCCAGGATGTCGTCGATGTTGGTGTGGCCGCCGATGAAGAGCGGCAAGTGCCTGGGCCGCTGGGGACGGTGCGGCCGCGGCGTCGCGGGGGCGGACGGGGGCTGCGCCGGGGGCGGCTGCTGCCAGCTGGAGGACCGGACGGGGGGCGGGGGCGGCAGCAGCGGGGGGCAGGGCGAGGGGGCGGAGCCGGGCCAGTCCGACGCGACGCTGGAAGCGTCACTGTCAGGAGGCGGCCGCTGTCGACGGGGAGGTGTCGGCGCGCGGTGACGGCTCTCATCTTCCGAGCTCTCCTGCGGATGTAAGGCACAGTGTGAGGGCCGGCGCGTCACCAGACCGATTCCGAGAGTCGCTTCCGTCGCTCCGTCTCTCTCGCACTCGTGGAGTGCTCCCAAGGGGAGCGAGAGAGACATGGTGACGGAAAACGACCAACGGAATCAGTCTGCAGGGCGCCAAGACAAGCAGTGGTGCGCTTACCTCAGAAGAACTCGGCGAGGCCGTGGTGTCTCTGCGCTGCTGCTGGGGCGGGGCCAGCGACGTGGGGTTGCTGTTGAACATCCACCACGGCCGCTCGCCGGAGTAGATGCGGGTGATTCGGTACTTGGTCTCGTCGCGGTGCGAGGACGCGTCCCTGTCCGAGGAGTCCGAGGCCTTGCTGATGGAGGCCGAGGCCGCCGAGGCCGCCGACGCGCAGTCCGAGGCCACCCGCTGCACACCCTCGGCGATGTTCTCTATGCTGTCCAGCCACCAAGCGCGCTCGCCCGACTCCACGGGCCGCAGGTTGGCCAGGGTGCGTCTCTCCTCGACGGCGCCGGTAGGACTCGTCCCGGCGGCCGTGCCCACACTGTTGACGGACAGCGTGCTCGGGGCGCGCTGCAGGGCTGCGGGGATGCTCTCGGCGCTCTCCACCCACCACGGCCGCTCCCCCGAGTACTGCTTGCGGATTTTGAAAGACTTGACGCTCTCCTTGTCGGAGTCCTGGCTCGGCTTGCTGAGCGACCGCGTGCTGGGGGCGCGCTGCAGTGCGGCTGCCTGCTCCGCGATGTTGTCCGAGCTCTCCTGCCACCAGGGCCGCTCGCCAGAGTACTGCTTGCGGATCTTGTACAGCTTGCCGGACTCGTTGGACTTGATGCTGACGCTGTCCGGGTCCGTCTTGCCCAGCGACCGCGTGCTCTTGGTTCGCTGCAGGCCTTGCTGCAGGCCTTGCTGCAGGCCCACCTCGCCGACAGAGTCGTCCGCCTCGTCGCGGTGCGCGTCCATCTCGGTGGGCGTCTTGCTGCCGTGGCGGAAGAGGTTGGTGACGGGCCCCAGGGCGCGCATGAGGAAGGACTTGGCCTCGTCCTGGGCCTTGCGGGGCTTGGCGGCGGCGGTGGCGTGCGACGGCGGCCGCGGCGGCTTGTCGTGCGCCGTGAGGGACTCCTGGCCCGGCGACCGCGACACGCGCGGCCGCGACGCCACGCCGTTGCACTGCGAGGACTCGTCATCGCTGCTGGACTCGCTGGGCGCGCTCGACGACGACCAGCTCGGATCGGGCTCGGGCGAGCGACGAATCTGCAAACCGCCACAGCGCACTCAGCGAAAACAAGGTCTTTAGTTCGGATGTGTAGAAATCGTAGTTTGGTCTGACTTTAAGCAGATATGTGTCGTTGGACTTTCCTTAAGCATGCATTTGTTACGGAATGCGATTTCCCGCCTTAGTTTGGGATCATTATCGCCACAACGAAACCAACCTCCCAACAACCAGGATTTCGTGAAATCGAATATTTTTTTCCTTTTCTGAATACTGTTTTCGCCCGTAAATTGCCCGGCTCTGAAAACACGACTGTCTACAAAGACGGGCGACGGTTCGCACGCAGCCTTGGCAACGTCAGGACAGAGTTAACTTACATAAGTGCGGGCTGTAAAACTACTGACGCTTCTTCTTTTTTTTTTTCAAATAAATCATGAACAACGAGGAACGCGCCAGACACCGACAACAGATTTTATTCCGAAATAGAAATACTCTGAAACCAAAGTACTGGGACAACCTAACCTCAAATCTGCGCCGATCGATTGCCTCCCGATCGGAAATTGATCCTTAGGCACCCAACTACAAGTGTGCAAAGTTTCATGCTTTTAACCAAAAGTGCACTGGGTTTTCCCATATAAGACCCACTACGGTGCGCCCCGTAATGCGTAGATGTGTCCCGCCTGCGAACAACGCCTCTGAGTAGCGTGCAATTTACACCTGCGCACTTACAGTGCACCCAACGCACTTCCACCGTTTGAGTAACGGCGCGAGGCCCGCTTACCTGGAATGACGGAGTTGTTGGCTGTCGCTGCAGGACACTGGTCATGCTTGCTGCGCTTGCCGCGCTTGCCGCCGGGCTGGGGGGAGTGGCGGGCGGCGCGGGGGTGGAGGGCGGCGTGGGGGCGCGAGGGCTGCCCGCCGGCCTCACGAGCTGGGGCGCCGGGCCCGGCTCGCGCGCCGCGGCCGAGGCATCGGAGGGCGTTTCCGAGCTCTCCGAGGTGCTCCTGCCGCCCGCACTGCCCTTCCTCACCAGTTTCCTCTGCTCGGCTTGCTGCCTCTTGTACTCGGCCGCCTCGTCCTCGCTCAGCGCCACGTTCAGCGCCGACTTGCGGAAGTCCTTGATGGGGATCTTGATGACCAGGCTGGGGCTGGGGAGGTCCGAGGCGCTGCCTCCCTGCACTGGGGCGGCGCCGCCACTCTGTCCCGCGGCGAGCGAGCCGAGGGAAGCGAGCGCGAGGGGCGCCACCTTCTGTCGCACCGCGGCACTCTCGATGACTTTGACGACACACTTGCCGGGCACTGAGGTGCAGGCCGCCGTCGTGGCGGTGCTGGCGGTGCCGGCGGGGCTTGCGTCACTGTTGGCAGCCCTGCCCGGGGTAGGCGGGCCGCTAGGCGGGCCGCTAGGCGGGCTCGGTGCCGGTGACGCTCTCGCGTCCTTCTTGGACGGCGACCGCGACGGCGGCGCCTGCTGCTCAGTCTTGGCGGGCTTGGGCGGCTCGGGGCTCTTGCAGGAGGTGGGCGTGATGACGGTGGGCTCGCGGTAGCCAAGTCGCGCGGACGAGGCCGCCGTCGAGCCCTGCGCCGAGGCCGTGTAGCTGGAGGAGCTGAACGCGCACGGCCCGGCGTGCCGCGACCACCGCGTCTCCATGTCGTCCGTCTGGCAGGTGCGCTCGCAGCGCTCCGGCCTGCTGTTGGAGCGCCGCATCTCGCGCTCCGTGGTCCGCGCCTGGTCCGCGCGCCGCGTGCGCAGGTAGTACGACGGCGAGGGCGCGGTGGGCGACGTGGAGCGCGTCACCATCGTCACCCAGAAGATGCACGGCGCCGAGTCGTCGCGCCACGCCGCGATCACGGCCTCGGCGGGCTCGGGCTTGCCGAACACCAGGGTGGGCTTGGCCGGCGTCGCGCCCGGCAGGTTGCCGGCTGACCCCGGAGGACCGCTGGTTGGAGTGGTGGCCGCACTGCTGGCGGGGGAGCTCTGGCTCGTGCTGGCAGGCGATCGCACGCCACTGGAGAGCCCGCTGGAGAACCCGCTGGAGAGCCCGCTGGAGAGCCCGCTGGAGAGCCCGCTCGAATAGGACCTGGGACTGGAGTAGGTGGACAGGCTTGTCGGCCTGTACGACGAGTATCCCGACGTCGACGACGACGTGCTCCTATCCCGGTCTTTGTTCTTGTCGGGCAGGAACCTGCTGGTCTTCTGGTCGGGGCTGCGTCCTCTCGGCTGAGTCGCCGCCCCGGGCCGGTAGCCGGACATGTACCGGCTGAGCACGGAGCCCTCCTTCTTGGCGCCGGCATCGCTGGTCGTCGCGGCCGAGGCCGCTGAGGCCGGAGCGGCCAGTCGGGTCGACGGCGACTCCTTCTTGTCGGAGTACCTGCTAGTCGCCGGGGTAGCAGTCGCATCTTTCTTACTATCGGCCGAGGACGCGGACGCTGCGAAGCGCCCCACAGTCGCAGGGGGGCTCAGCGCCGAGTCCTTCTTGTCGGCGAACCTGCTTGTCGCCGCGACGCCCGCGTCCTTGACGGCGTAGCGAGTGGGCGGCGGCGGCGGCTCCTTCTTGTCCAGGGCAGGCGACGCCGCGGCCGCGGCGCTCCTACTGGACGTGGTCGAGGGCGTTCTTGTGTACCCGCCATACTTTGAAGCGGTGGCGCTACCGACCGCGGCCTTGGCCTCGGGCTCGCGGGACGCCCGGGACCCGAAGCGAGGCGTCGGCGGTTCGGCCGGGGTGGTGGCCCTGGGGGCGTAGCGCGCGGCCGCGGTCGCCGCCTCGGCCTCGGCCTTGCGCTCCTTGTCCCTGGCCGCGGCCAGCCGCTCGCGCACCGAGGTGAGCGCGGGGGACTGCGGGGGCGGGGCGGGCTGCACTCGCTCGCGCCCCGCGTCCGCCGACCGCAGCGAGGACCGCGACGACGGGGTGGGGCTGGCCGCCGCGCTCGGGGGCCCGCTGGTGCCGACGGAGGGCGTGGCCGACGTGCTGCTGGAGGACCGGTAGGACGTGAGCCTGCTGCGGGACGCCGGCGCCTGCGGAACCACAACCAGCACAAAGACGCTGCAGTTTTATCGCAGTGGCGGAAGTCGGGAAGTCACCCTTCAACACAAATTGGCGGGGTCTCGCGCGGCCGGGTCGGGGTGGTCTAGGCGCCGGGCCAGACGCCAGACGGCCGCCCGGCCGCGCGTTCCTTACTGCCAGGAAACGTACACAAGCACACAGAGCGTCTAATAACTTGGGAAAGGCACTATTTAATGCGCGCTCCCTTACTTTCTCGCCAACAGGGGCCCACAGTGGCTCTGCAGACAGGCCGCACTCAGACCGTGCAGCCCGCTGTGTGATTCAAGCCCAAGGGCCAATCAGTTTCCCGACTTAAGGTCGCCTCGCACAGCAGATCCTGGCACACTACGTCCCAATTTCACGCATGCTGTTTTCAACAAAAGGAGAGAAATGACTAACTGCTGACCTACGGGCCCAGAGAGTTTCCAAGTTCGACGCGTTTGCGTACCTGGTTGGCCGTCGACGCCGACGTGGAGGTGCTGGAGCTGGGGCTGTTGGCGGCGGCGGAGTTGTCTCGGCGGGCGCTCCATGGTGTCTGGAACAGAGAGCAGGCGCGTGACTGCGTGACTCGCCATGGCAATGCGACAGCAGTCTATCGCCGTGCCAGGCGCACCTTCGGCAGCCACAACACGCCGCTTGTCGTTGTGGGGGCGGCGGGGGCGGCGGGGGCGGAACCGGCGGGGTGGGTGTCGCGGGGGCGGGACGCGCGGCCCACCCGCTGCCCCCGTTGGCACGCTGCCAGCTCCTGTACACCACCACTGCACTGCACAAGCCTGATTCATCCACTCGTACACCCTCCCCCTCCCCCTTCTCCGAAAATAGTCTCTACATGGAGGAGTACGTGGACGTGGCGAGGTAGGGCGAGGCACGGCAGAGAGCCTAAATCCAGGTCTCAAGGTGCAGACCCGCCCCGCGGCCCGCTCCCTGCCCTGCACAAAATATTCCCGCTGAATCGGCCAGCGCGGCCAGCGCACGCGGAGTTCAGTTTGCAGTGGCGGAGTGGCGGTGCACTGCACTGCAGGCGGCGGCTCGAGCGGCCCAGGCCCAGCAGGCCATCATCCAAGTGGCCCGGCCAGGGCCCGGCTGGCAATGCTCCTGACCTCTGGGCCTCTCCCGCGCTGGCATGCGTCCGGGCGGGGGGCGTAGGCACGGCGTAGGCACGGCGTAGGCACGGCGTAGGCATCGACTCGAAGGCGATCCCATTCGCGGTGCGCGAGGCCTGGCGCGGCCTGGAGAGGCTCCGCCATGCCCCTCCGGATCCCCCTCCGGGTTCCCTCTGCCCTGCAAGGTTGTTATGTCCGCCTGGGGGATCTGCGCATATTTCTCGACGAGTTATTTCAGAATCGGCTCACTTCACTGGCGGGGCGCGCGGCGCTCGGGCCCCGCGGGCCCCGGGGCGTCAGCAGGGAAGGCGCGGGGCCCGGGGCGCGGGGCGCGGGGCCCCACACCGGGCGGCGAGGGGGCGGGGAGGCGTACCGCACTGATCCGAATCATACACCGCGGCCCTCTAGCGTCTGTAAACCAGTAAACCCCTCGCGCCCCGCGGACCCCCGCGACCTTTGCGGTGGATGGGCAATTCGAGGCGTGCCGTGCCCTGGGCGGCGTGGCGTGCCGCGCCTTCCGATGCTGATGTATTTGACAGCCGCGTTTGTTCTGCAATGGCTCCGAGCCTCCTCGCCGCGCCGCGCATTACACCGGCCGGCCTGCACTGCTGCACTGCTGCACTGCCTGCACTGCCTGCACTGCCTGCACCTGCCACGGGCATTCGTTGTCGGCGCTTCTGATCATCTGACCACTTGGCGTACAAGCACAAGAGTGCACTTTGTCAACAGGTCCGAGTGTCTCCAGCGGCGGAGCATGGGCAGCATATTGTTCTCATCATTTCGCGAGAGAAAAGAACCAGCACTGGCAATGAACTTGGGCTAGGGTGTGCCCTTGAGCGCTACACTGGTAGCTTATTGGCCGCAAGTGACAAGGCAGCCGAAGGGAACCGAAGGGAACCGAAGGGAACCGAAGGCAGTGCCGCTTTGGCGAATCATCTCGGCGAAATTAGACGTCCGTCCGGGCGGCGGCGTGGCGTGCGGGCGCCGCGGCGAGGCAAGGCGTCTCCGGGCGTCGCTCTGCGGGCCGGCCGCGATCATCTCTGCGGGGGGCAAGAGCAGCCCGCCCCGCCCCGCCCCGCCCCGCCCCGGGCCGTGGCAAGCCGGACCTAATTATCCGTCTGCAGCGGGGTGGCGGCGGCGCGGGGCGTTACTCGACTCGCGGCGTCCTGCCGGCAGCGCGCCGCCGAGCAGCCGCGCCACGCCCTGCCTTCTGCTGGCCGGCCAAGCCGAGGCCAAGCCGAGGCCGAGCAGTGTCGCGCCGTCACCGCGCCGGCCGCGGCAAGAGGTCCGCGGCGAGGGCCCCGCGGGTCGCTGCCCTGCCCGTCGGCCTGCTCCGCCTGCTCCTCGCGGGCGCACTCCACTCGGCGCAGGAAGGAACGGTCCTAAAACGGTCCAATGTCGGCGAGTCGGAGGCAGGCCTGCCGGCGGGCCATGATGTGTGGAGGGAAGGAATAATTAGCCGACGACGACGGCGCGGCGGCACGGCGGAAGCGAGATAGCGAACAATGGGAAGTCGAGCGCAACAACGGTTCGGAAGAGGAGAAAAAGGCGCCGCCAGTGACACTGAGCCACTGAGCCGGACGGGCCGGCGAATGCAGTGCCGTGCAGTTGGGCGATGTGCTCTGTTACAAGTGGCGCACAATGGCAGGGCGGCCGGGGCCGGACAGTGAAATACTCCGGCCGGGCGATGAGCTCATTCATTCCGCGCCGCTACTTACAGTGCTCGCAGTGCCAGGGCTCGGCCAGGGCCAGGGCCGCCGCGCCGCCGCCGGGGCGGTGTGCAGTGATAGCGCCATTACTGGCTTTTTGTGCGCCGCAGTCAATCGCTGGCGGCGCTGCGGCGCTGCGGCAAAACCAGCCGCCGGTTCCGTCTCGCCTCGGTTCGGGGTTTCGGCTTCCGCAGTTCCGCCGCGCTTAATTCAGTCGCCTTTTTATCGGGCGCATTAATTCGTGCGACGCGCTCAGCCCGGAGAAAAAGTTTCTTGCTTCAAACGAAAGAAACTTTTGGTTCTTTGATAACCAAACAGACATGTCCGCATTTCAAATAAATTGTTGGTGCAACGAACAAGCTGTAATGGCACAAAACCTGTGGGTTTGGAATAACTTTCCTAATGTCCTCCGCGAGCACCGCTTAATCAGCATCAGCGCAGTGCAAGCATGGGAATTACCGGGCCCGAACGGCATAGGATCAGTTCTGGTCTAGCCTCTCAAGTTCAAGTTCATGACCTGTAGCGCTCGTAGCGCCTGCGAGGTAGGCCATGGGCCCATCACGCAGCACACCGGCGTGGAGACGTTGGCCTACCTTGCGCCTGCCTTAGGGGCGAGGTAGGCCACCGTCTCCACACCGGTGTGCTGCGTGACGGCCCAGTGGCCTAACTCGCCGGCGCTAAGACGGCCGGCCGCTTGAATCGCGCGCTGCACCTTCAAGCTGCATCTGCCAGGGGCGCCGGAAGTGGGGTGCAGGGTGGGCAGGCTGCCCCCCCTGGAATTTGGCAGGGGGGGCATCGCCCCCCCCTGGACTTTGGTGGGAAGCTGCGAAAATCGAGCCTAGGGTCAGTTGGAGCAATTATAGGACACGGGGTAAAAATGGGACAGCATATTCCAAGGGGTACCCGACTCAAGATAATCATTGCGCGTCTAGTTGGTAACCAGTGAAATAATCAACATCATCCAATGAAATGACAATCATACTTGCGGGGATTCAATCACTTTTGACAATTTTTGCGAGACCACTGCTCCAACTATCAGCGGTCAAAGCCTTCCCGAGGCGGGGCATGAAAGAGTAGGGTCTTTAGGATAGTAAGGCGTCGAGGGAGGCCTTTGACCGCAACTAAATTGGATGCAGTGACCGCTTAAAGTCAGCGAAAACGATGATTTTTTGAAATTCTTTCACTTTTTGACCATTTTTGCGAGACCACTGCTCCCAAGCTATCAGCGGTCAAAGCCTTCCCGAGGCGGGGCCTGAAAGAGTAGGGTCTTTAGGATAGTAAGGCGTCGAGGGAGGCCTTTGACCGCAACTAAATTGGATGCAGTGACCGCTCAAAGTCAGCGAAAACGATGATTTTTTGAAATTCTTTCACTTTTTGACCATTTTTGCGAGACCACTGCTCCTAAACTATCAGCGGTCAAAGCCTTCCCGAGGCGGGGCCTGAAAGAGTAGGGTCTTAAGAATAGTAAGGCGTCGAGGGAGGCCTTTGACCGCAACTAAATTGGATGCAGTGACAGTTCAAAGTCAGCAAAAACGGTGATTTTCTGAAATTCATTCACTTTTTGACCATTTTTGCGAGACCACTGCTCCCAAACTATCAGCGGTCAAGCCTTCCCGAGGCGGGGCATGAAAGTAGGGTCTTTAGAATAGTAAGGCGTCGAGGGAGGCCTTTGACCGCAACTAAATTGGATGCAGTGACCGCTCAAAGTCAGCAAAAACGATGATTTTCTGAAATTCATTCACTTTTTGACCATTTTTGCGAGACCACTGCTCCCAAACTATCAGCGGTCAAAGCCTTCCCGAGGCGGGGCATGAAAGAGTAGGGTCTTTAGATAGTAAGGCGTCGAGGGAGGCCTTTGACCGCAACTAAATTGGATGCAGTGACCGCTCAAAGTCAGCGAAAACGATGATTTTTTGAAATTCTTTCACTTTTTGACCATTTTTGCGAGACCACTGCTCCTAAACTATCAGCGGTCAAAGCCTTCCCGAGGCGGGGCCTGAAAGAGTAGGGTCTTAAGAATAGTAAGGCGTCGAGGGAGGCCTTTGACCGCAACTAAATTGGATGCAGTGACCGCTCAAAGTCAGCAAAAACGGTGATTTTCTGAAATTCATTCACTTTTTGACCATTTTTGCGAGACCACTGCTCCCAAACTATCAGCGGTCAAAGCCTTCCCGAGGCGGGGCATGAAAGAGTAGGGTCTTTAGAATAGTAAGGCGTCGAGGGAGGCCTTTGACCGCAACTAAATTGGATGCAGTGACCTCTCAAAGTCAGCAAAAACGATGATTTTCTGAAATTCATTCACTTTTTGACCATTTTTGCGAGACCACTGCTCCTAAACTATCAGCGGTCAAAGCCTTCCCGAGGCGGTGCATGAAAGAGTAGGGTCTTTTTAAGCACCTTTTTTGGTGGGGGAGGGGGGTAATTAGGAACGTAGGATTTAAAATTGTTTGCCCCCCCCTGAGGAAATACACTTCCGGCGCCCCTGGCATCTGCCGGGGCCTGGAGCCGTTCGAACGTTCCCGCGGCCGTCGCCACTGGTGCTGCCCTCTGTTACCGGGCGCGGGCACTAGCGCGGCGCAGCGCCTGCGCAGACTCCCGCGCAGAGGGCGCCACTCGCGGTTCGGCGCAGGGAAGCACCAGCTCGGCCAGGTAGCGGTGCACCTTGCGTTCCGAGTCAAGAAGACTCACCGGTGCTCATTGCTCATAAAAGCATTTTTTTCGCGTCCTGGTCAAATTCAGACAGCCCAGCTCGGACAGCTTGCCCATTCGTTTAGAGCGACCTCCGTTTCGCCCAACCCGCTTATACACCGTCAGGCTCGAGGGAAGCAAGGGACGCGTTGGTGCGACCGCTGGATTTTCGAAACTTTGGACTTGGACGCAGCGAAGTGAGCTACTTTCAGAAACTTAATCACTTTAGGAAATTTCGTTGGTGCCCCCAAACTAGGGCAAGGAATGCTTCTAATGAATGAACACACATACTTCTCTGAACACTAGCGAACACCAAAGAGTAGGTAAATAAGTGTGAATACCTTAGAAATGGTTTGTTGCAAAGTTGGTCGGATATTTCCGGAAATACTGGCACTCAAACCACTTTCCTTTTCGATCCTTTTAGTAATCACATCACATTCATTGACTGTTCAGGCAAAATATCTGGCCGCCTCGGTTGAAGGCAGCCTTGGTGGCAGGCATCTGTCGGCTCGAGCGGGGCTGCCGCCAAGGCTGCCGCCAAGGCTGGTGGCAAGGCTGGACGCCCGGGCTGACGCGGCCGCCCAGAGTGTGAGTCTGGAAGGTAAACAAACAGTGGCGTGCGAATGGCAAATGCGAGAGCACTCCCCGCCACTGCGCCCCGGCAGCCCAGGCCTACGCCAATAGAGCGCGCCAACACAGCGCGCCAACGCCCACACCGTGTCCATCTCGACAACCTCGACGAGCTGATGCTGGGCGGCCCTGGCGGCCCGGAACCGCGTTCAAGAACCACCGCGTCACCGCCAGCTGCTGAGCCCTTCCGCGCGGGCACTGTGCTGCGGCGGGGCGGCGCGGCGCTGCGTGGAGGGGATGGCGAGGGAGGGGAGGGGAGGGGCTGCCGGGCGAGCTGGTGCGTGGCGACGCGTGGCGCGCCCCAGAATAGATTTGGCGCAAACAGCAACCGGTGTGTCCACCCTGGTGCCTTCCGAGTCCCCTTCGGGTTGCTCACCCCGGCGCAGCCCGGCGCAGCCCAACACAATGGCGACTTCTGTGTCAAAAGCGCAGCGGATGCCGCGGTGCCCGTTGAACAGCTGACGGCCTGCTCTGCCAGGGCGGCCAGGGCGGCCAGAACAGCGTCGTGCGGGGCGGAAGCTGGCTTGCGGCAGGCGAGGCATTATTGTCTGTAGACGCCCTGGACGCCCTCCTACGCCACACAACTGGGAACCACTGCCAAGCGATTCCCAACGATCGTCACTCTGGCTCACTCGCTTTCATGGGACGTCCCGCAAGGGTGCTAGGGCAGCGGGTCCCAACCTTGGGGTCGCGTCTTTAAAAAATCGTCTTTCGGGTCGACTTTAAGCATCCACTGCGTCTGATCCGAGGCGGTATTTCGTCCTCCCTCAACGGGCAATGGGTCTTTGGACCTTCCTTTAGCATGCCTTTGTTGCGGAGTACGATTATCTGCCTTAGTTTGGGAGCAGTATTGCCGCAAAGTTGATGAACCCACGTGTTTTCAGACATTTGTGACCGTTTTGGTCAACTTTGCGGCAGTACTGCTCCCAAACTAAGGCAGATAATCGCACACCGTAACAAAGGCATGCAAAAGGAAGGTCCAAAGACCAATTGCCCGTTGAGGGAGGACGAAATACCGCCTCGGATCAGACGCAGTGGATGCTTAAAGTCGACCCGAAACACGATTTATCAAAGACATTTGCGACCGTTTTGATCAACTTTGCGGCAGTACTGCTCCCAAACTAAGGCAGATAATCGCGTTATGTTTTAAAGGCATGCAAAAGGAAGGTCCAAAGACCAATTGCCCGTTGAGGAAGGACGAAATACCGCCTCGAATCAGACGCAGCCTAAAGTCGGCCCAAAACACGATTTTTCAAAGACATTTGTGACCGTTTTGATCAACTTTGAGACAATACTGCTCCCGAACTAAGGCAGATTATCGCACTTTGTATCAAAGGCATGCTAAAGGAGGGGTCGCGTAGGGTCGCGAAATTTTTCCTGGGGGTCGCGGAAATTTTTGGCTACAAATTTGGGGTTGCGAACCGAAAAAGGTTGGGAACCGCTGTGCTAGGGAGACGAATGGACGAAACGAACCATCGGAATGGCTTGGCTCTCATTGGAACTCATCCGGCGAGCCGAGCCGCGCACAGCCGCAGGCTTGAACAACAGCGTTTCGAGTTTGGCGCGCGATGGCGCTGAAAAGCCGTTGCCCCGCACTCTGTCACAGCGTCCGTCGGGCGTGGGGCGTGGGGCGCCGCGACGCGCTTCATAGAGCGGACACTGGCCGCTGGCACCGCTGGCCGCGCTGGCCGGCCGTGCCGCTTCAGGCGGCGGGGTTTCCCCGCGTTCGTGTCATCCCGACGCGAGCGTTCAAACGGGGTTCGTGCCGACGGCGGCGCTCCCCGGCGGCGTGTGCGGTGCGGCCGGCTGCGGCACTGTTGCGGTTCCACTTCCGGCCCCGTTTTCTGCGCGCAGCGACCCGAGCGGTTCCGCGAACCGGGAGCACTGTACACGCCGCACCCCTTCGGCTCCGCGGCGAGCGACTCGGGGGCAGCGCCACTAAAATCACCGACCGCAAGCAGACCCTACTCCTCCCCCTGTTCGGCGTGTTTAGTGTTGATCCAGCCCAGCACAGCCACCGCTCTGCGCTCTGCAGCACGTCCATAGTGCCCAGCACACCTCTGACCCAATTCTGGTGGGCAGGCAGGGCGTCTGCAGGCCCGTGCCTCGGCGCCGTATGGACTCGGCTGTGTTTACAAGGAGCAGCGGACCTCGGCGCCGTGCCGCGCCGTGCCGCGCCGTGCACAGTGCGCAGCCTCCCTCGCATTAGTGCGAGACTGCGCCGACACGTCCGAGTCCTCCTCGCATGTCTGCCTTCTCTCGGGCAGAGTGCGTTCCACCGCTAATCACTTTCCAAAGTTTTAATTTGTGCGCGCGCAGCGCTTCGCGTGTGCCCGGCGTCGAGTCACGAAACGATTTAGGCGCTCGCTTCCCTCCCGCGTGCCACGAAGGGTAAGGTCACGTCAGGCAACCCCTCCCCTCCCCCCTCCCCCGCTGGCCGACAGCTTCGCGATGAACCTTCACTGCACTGCGCTGCCCCGCCCTGCACGACTGCCTGCGCGACCCAAAAACTTTGGTACCCACCCCACGGAAAACGGGAAACGGAGCGGGGCGCCCTAGATCGAAAGAGAGGGGTTGCAGCATGTGTCAAATAACTTTTCTGACGTCCATTTTGTGTTGACTGAGCGTTCTACCTCACTGTAGTAGTAACCGTGAGGCTGTGTAACTTAATAAACGTACTGTCTCTTCCCAATGAGAACAGAGGTAGTCTAAATTTCGTCAAAATGGTCTCTGTTTCATCGTTAGAACGGACTGTACTTTGACTCCGAGTCAAAATTCAGCCGATTTCGGCGTCAAAATATGAGTTACTTTGACGCGTGGCCGCGCGACGCCGCCGTTGCCGGGGCGACCGAGGCCGGCTTCGGCACGGAGGGACGAAGAACGAGGACCGCGCTGCACAAGACGACCAATTCTCTTAAAATAGCGAACCTAAAGAGCGGGGACGATGCGGAGTCACGGGAAAGCGCGGCGCGGCGGCGGCGGCGGCAAAGTGGTGTGTGTGGCCGTCAGGCCGTCAGCGTGGCAACGCCTTTGTCAGCTCCAACTTTGCCGAAAAAGGGGGGAAATAGGCGAGCCTTAGCGGTTGTGCGCCGCGGCCGCGTTCGCTGCGGTGCTCCAGCAGCCGCGCTCCGGGCTCCAGCGCGCTGAATCGCCTGCGAGGCGGGCCGGCCCGCGGCGCACGCTGCCGTGACGGCACGGCCTAGCTTCCAGGCGCTCCACGGTCCACGGCCGGACCCGCCGGCTGGGCCGACGCGGCGCTACCCCACGCGCCACCGGCGTGGCGTCCGCGTCGCATTTCATCTGGCGCCCGATTGGATTGCTGCTCGACGACCTGACAGCTGGCGTCTGCCTCCGCGTCCGTCTGGGTGCGCAGCGCGCCGCGCGCCGGCCGTGCCCAACACGTGCAGTGTGTAAATGCAGCCGGCCGCCCCACGCCCCGCACGCCCCGCACGCCCACGCGGATGTCGACACGTGAAGCGCGAACGCGGCCGCCCCCAATGCGAGGCTGGCCCGGGCACAGCATGCGGACTGCCCTGCAGCGCGCTGACAGCCAACAGGTTCACGGGGGACAAGGCCGCGCGGAGGGCATGGCCGGGCACGGCGGGCACGCGGGTTGCGTGAGTACTTACGTAGCTCCTGAAGGTGGACATGGCTCAGGCGCGCGAGTCAGCTTGTCACATGGCGGGGGTAATCCTTTCGGGAAACTGTCATCATCATCGTCACTGCACTGTTTTCACTTTCACTGCAGTTCCCCTCCAGAGGGCGCGGGGGTGGGGAGGGGTGGCAGGGCACGCTCGGCGGCGATGGCGGCGACACATGCGCATGGTACTCGTTCACGTTCACGCCGATCCGGCGGCGGGTTCGGGGTTCGTGGTTCGGGCGTTACGAGGCCTCGTCGGGAAGCCAGCGACGGCGGTCGGGCCGCAAGGGATGCATGGCCGGGACCAGCGGGGACCTCCGCTCCCGACACGCCCCTGGACGCCACTGACGCGCCGTGCGCCCCGAGGCCCCCGTGGGGCGGCGGAGAGGGGGGAGCGACGCGCACCAAGCCGACCAAGCCCCAGGCCGACCAGGCAGCAGCCCGCCGGCCAGACACCCCGTCGCAGCGCGCGGCGCGCGGCGCAACCACGCACGACCTAACCTAACCAGCGGCAACCAGCGGCCGGTGTAGCTCGCAGTGTAGCTCGCAGTGCACGGTGGGGAGCCACTCTCAGACCCGCAAAAAAGATCCGAGTTTACAGGCAGCGAAAAACTGCTTCCTGTTGGCAAGTGTCGGCGGTTTCGGTTTTCCCACGGGCCTAATGGCGCCGATGATCCCCAACCAGCCGGGCAGGCTCTGAGGTCAGAATGACAATATGTCACGGCGCGGTGCGGCGCGCGGAGACGGGGTTGGGTTTTGTCGACAGCAGCGCCACCGTCACCGCGGCGTGCCCGAGGGCGTGCCGGCCGGCCGGCTCGCGGGCCAGATCGCTCTACTTCCTGCTGGTGGCGTTCCGCCCCGCCCCGCCCCGCCCCGCCCCGCCCCGCCTACTCGTCCCGGGGGTGGCGATGTGGCGGTGCTCGGCAGCGCGCCGCCGGCGTGCCGGCCAACACGTCGACACAGCTGTGGGCAGCGTCGTGGCAGCGCTGTGCCGAGCAACACCACACAGGACCGAGTAAATTTACTCGACAAGTCCGCCCCGCACGGCGACGACACGCCCGAAGCTGAGGCCGAGACAGAGGATAAGGGCGCACTTTATGGAGCAGTAATGTCGCCGGGCGCGCCGCCGTCGCCGTCGCGGAGGTCATCGACGGGGTCCTTCCCTTCCCCTACGGCCGCACCTGTTGCGGATCCATTTCACCGAGTTTCATGACGGGCGGTGACTTTGTGGCGTTGTTGTTTTTCGAGAGGGTGATGACCAGGGCCTACACTACCCTGGGATGACTTGGAGGCTCGGCAGTTTGCCCTCGGTGTCGCGCGGACCCTGATCAAACCCTGACGGCCTCCTTGGCTGCTGGACTTCCCCGCAGTGCCGCCGGAAGTGGGGCGGGGGCTGACGATCGGCACCACGCCGTCGATACTTCCTGCGCGAGGGCGCGAGGACTGGGACACTGTAACCGGGCAAGGGAACTCGACAACTCGACCGGCGCTGCCATCTGCCGTCGACTCGCACCGCGGCGCGGCGCGGCGTGGTGTCGCCATGGCGCGGGGTATCTCCGCCGCCTCCGCCGCGCGGCAGCCCCGGGAATACTCCTGGCGAGTAAGCGCGTGACTGCCAGCGCTACTCCCAGTGCGCGAGGACGCCGGTTCGAGAACCTGAGGGAACTTGCTTGGAAACGCGCCCGGTTTGCACCAACCAGTCGTCACGGGGTATCGCCGAGGAAGAGCCCGCCGACTTGTGCGGTCACTTTGCGCGAAAATCAATCGGCACGGGGAAACGGAGTGATTAACCGTCGTTAATCGGCTGAACGCCCCACGCTGCAGATAGCGTGCATGACATCAACACGGTCACGCACTCACTCAGGCCATTCGCCTCGGGGGCCCCGGCCAGGCCCCGCCAGGCCCCGGCAGGCGCCACCCGGATGGACGGACTCCCCCACTAGAGAACAAGAAGGAAAAATGATAAGTTTTCGATAGCGAAAGTTGCTGGTGACAGCGATTGTCCTTTGGCACGCTGGCAGGCCGGCGCGGTGGATGCGGTGGAGGCGGTGGAGGCCCTCCCTCTGCCCGCGCCTGGCCCCGCCCCTCGCCCCTGCCCCCGGCACGCGGGATGTCGCCACGGCACGGCAGCGCGGCGGGCCGCGGCGGGCCGGCAGGGCTGAATGTGGACGGGGCGGCGCGGGGCCGGGCGGGACGCCACCACCGCCAAGAGTATTTTTAAGCCGGCCACATTTGTTCTCCTTCCCGTCCTTGGTCACGCACACAATCTCCTTTTCCCTCCTCTATCAATCGGCGCAGCTGCGGGGCCGCGGACTGCGGGCGGGAGGCGGGCAGGCCGCGCAGCGCTAGTGCATCATCGCAGTGTAGTGCATCGCAGTGCATCGCAGTGCACCGGACCGGCGTCGCACTAACAAACAAGGCGGCGGTGGGAATGGCCGGCGACGGAGTGCGCTGCACGGCGCTGCAGCTGTGATTGGAGGGGAAGGCCGAGGCTGCAGAGGCGCGGCCCCCGGCCCAGCTTCCGGCGCACTGCTCCTGCAGGGACACTGGCTCCTGAGCACTCCCGAGACGCGGCAGCGCGGCAGCCGCTCAATAAATACTTCCCCGGTGACGCAACAACGGCGGCCATTTTTGGCCGGCCCATGTGACGGCGGCAGGTGGGGCGTCACATCGTCGCGCGCGTCTGCAGCCGCCAGGCCGCCACGAGGTGGACCCCGGCGCCCCGCCCCGCTCCGCCGCGCCCCGCGAGACGCGCTTCCCCGCCGCGCCCCGTCGGTGTCCGCCTAGACGTGCCACTCAAGTCCCATAGTGTCACAGATGTGACGCAGGCCTCAAAACTGTCTCTGACCCAGCGCAGCGGCCGAGAGCTCGGCCTCCTCGCGCGAGGCTAGGCGGGGAGCGTCCTGAGAATCGCCGCGCTGCCCGCCCTGGCCTGGTGGCCGAGAGGCCGGAGCCCAGAGCATGAACATGATGGGCTGCAGGCAGGTTGGGCAGGGCGAGGGCCTCGTTCGTCATGTACTACATCATCATCTCCGCGAGGGCGATATCGCGGTTCGCTGCGCCGCCGCCTTGCCGCCGCTATGGCCGCGCCCCGCTGTCCGCGCAGGCACATTCGTCTTGCCTACCGGCCTGCCTGGCGGCCTGGCGGCCCGGTCCGGCCCGGTCCTGCCGCGACCCGCGAGACGGCGAGGCGCTGCTGGTGTCCCTCCCTAACCCTCCCTGATCCCTCCGCCCTCCGCCCCGCTGGGCCGCTGGGCCGCTGGGCCGCCCTACGCCCAGCTGCACCTTCCCGCCGGGCCGCGGCTCACGCCCGCCCACGCCCACAACCTATTGATCTGAGTTTGAATCCGAGTCTGGGCCTGGGACCTGGGCCTCCCGCAATGCGCCAGCATGCGCCAGCCTGCACCAGCCGGCCGGTGCTCCAGCGGACAGGGCGGGGCAGACCGAGCTGGCAGTCAGGCTGCACTCGCGAGCAGTGGCGTGGCCGATGGAGAGCTGGCCTGAGGGGAGGAAAGTGGCACTTTCTGCCAACTCACAGGGACAATGTGTGGCCTTTCGCCTGCCTTTCAGGCGGCAACGGAGGGGTAAGTGTCCTTTCGCCCTCCACCGATCTGCGCTTGCCCGCGGGGCGCCGCTGCACTGCGGTGCAGTGCGGTGCACTTTTGCTGCCGCTCCTGATTTATGGACCCACCCTCCCCGCCGGCCGGTGCACTGCCAGGCCGGTGGCCAGGCCGGTGGCCAGGCCGGCCAGAAGGGCGGGGGCCGCGCGGGGCAGCTCGCTGGCTACCGGGCATTACTTGGTCGCGTGCCACGAGGTTTGTCCACGGTGGCGTTTGTCACCTTTTAAATCACAAACACGGTCCCTACTGTCTAAATTTACGCGACGGAAGCCTCGGCGGCGCGGGCCCTCCCTTTCCCTTCGGCCCGTCGGCCCTTGGGGTGCGGCCATGAGCGAAGGGTCGTGGCCGCCGCGGTGCACCGTCACCACCGTCACCACCGTCACCAGGCCCATGCAGTGTTCGGCGGTTCGAGCAGGGCGGATGAAAATGTCAACGTCCCGCTCCGCCTGTCCCTCCCTCCCCTCCCGGGCGCCGCGTGCCCGGTGTGTCGAGCCTCAAGTGTCAACCGGGCCGGTCGGGGTGGTGCCGAGCACCGCGGCGCCTGGCAGCCAGGTTGGTTCCGAACAGGATTCTCGTCGCTCTACCTCTCTCGCACTCAAGGGGCGTCGCGTACAGGTGCGAGAGAGGCAGAGCGACGGAACGCTGCGCGGAACCAGTCTGCAGGCCCCAGCCCAGGCCCCAGGTCCCGCCGCGCCGAGCCAAACACGCCGAACAGCGCGCGGACACGGCGATACACGCGTTGTTTGTCGCGTACCGCGTCCTTTTAATTGGCGGAGAGGCGGCCCTCCACCGCCATGGGTAACAGGGCCTTCTCCCTGACCGACGCCGCGGCCCTGAACGCCGCCCGCCCCGCAAGGACGCCGCGCGAGGCGGGAGAGCAACCCGGTCACATGCAGGTGCAGCAAGGCACGCCGCGAGATAAAAGGGCCTCTGTGTCTAACTTCGTCCCGTCTGCCGCGTTGCCCGCGTTGCGTTTTTTGCCCCCGACCTGGGGCAAGACGACGGCGCCCACTGTGCATATACCTGCGGCTGCGGCGAGATGATTGTCCGTGTGGCGCGGCGCGGCACGGCGCGGGATATTTTAGACCAGAGGGGGTCACGCATGGCGGCCGGCTAGTCACCATGTAACACCGAGTGCATCAGAGCCTCTCTATTTGTGAGCGAGTGTGTCCTGTCCTTTGCGACGGCACGGCGACGCGGTGCGGAGTGCGCCCAGTTGCTGGCGATAGATATAGAGACTGAGAGAGGGCTCTGAGTTCAGAGCAGTTCTTCTGTCTCAGAGCATCTCTCCTGCCCGCTCAGAACATATCTGCCTATGAGCATTTTCCTGCTCGCTCAGAACTTCTGCCTGAAAGCATTTCTCCCGCCTCAGAGCATTTCTTCTGCCTAAGAGCAGAGCAGAGCCCTGCACTGTAACCCTGAGAGCGCATTGTTCGATTTAACTGCTAGTCGCGTCTCCGCGGGGCGCCTGGCTCGGCCTGGACGCAGCGACGCGCACGCCAGACTGTGAATGCCGTGCGTGTGCGGGGCGTGCGCGGTGCGCGACGGTAGGCGATCTTGGGCGGTCAACGCCCTTCGCGGCTTCGCCTCGCGACGGTCCCCGCGGCCCGCCGAGCCCTCTGCACTCTGATTCCGTCTTCGTCACCCTGTCTCTCTCGCACCCGTGCGGAACGCACCGCGAGAGCGAGAGAGACAGAGCGACGAAAACGACTCTCGGAATCAGTGTGCTGCATCCGCCAAGAGCTCCGAACTCCGAAGGATCGCCTCGTCGCTCTGTCTCTGTCGCACTTGAGGGGCGTGCCGCAGCGTGCCGCAGCGTGCCGCTGGGGTGCGAGAGAGACAGAGCGACGGCAGGCGCCGGGCCGGCCGACCTGTCAATGGTGGAGCCGCGCCGCGAGACGCCGCGAGACTCGGAGGCGCTGCTTCGCTGCGGATCGCCGCAAAACAACGACGAGCACACTCCATCCCGCGAGGCAGCGGGGCACCACCACACTGTACCAGGCGACGACGGCGAGGCGAGGTGCAGGGCGCAGGGTGTAGGTCCCGAGGGAATACCACTGGGTATAGATTCGTGCCAGCGCGCGTTCGTTAAATTATAATAGGGCTCGGTGGCCGGATTCAATCGCGTGTGCATGCGGTCTTGATGAAAAATACGGTTCGCGCTGTTTTCAACCCGGCGGCGCGCAGACCCGCCCGCCGCGCCGGGCCGCGCCAGTTGTGGCCTCGCCCCCCTCGAATGCGAGCAATTTCGCCGCACTGGAAAAGCACCACTTTTTCATCGCCGTGCCATGCCGTGCCGCGCCGCAGCGGCGAGGCGGACAATCGACACTTAATTAACATTGCTCGGCTCAGCTGCTCATCTGCAGCGCGCTCCGCAATCTTCCCGCCGCTTTTTCTGCCCCTCCGTATTTCTATTTCTTTTTCTCGTTCCATCGACCGTTAGGGTTCGGCCGGCGGGGCCTTCATAACGCGCGCCAAATAATTGACACGGCTTTCCGAATGGCTAACGGCTGGCTGCCCTTTGGCTGCGCACTGCGCGACGCGGCGCGATGACTGCCTTGGCTGCCTGCTCGGTTCGGGCGGCGCGGCGCGGTCGTCATTTATTCACGATTGACGGACGAGGATGTCGCCGATGTCGTCGCCTGCCTGCCGACTCATTCCGAGAGTCGTCGCTCTGTCTCTCTCGCACCTACACGGCAAGACCCATCGATGCGAGAGAGACAGAGCGACGAAAGCGACTCTCGGAACGAGTGTGCTGCGAGGCCGTGCGCGCCGTGGGCTCGCTTGGGGCGGGGCACGCCTGCCGCGCTGCCGCGCCACGCCAAGCCCCCCCTGCGCCTGATGAGCCTCTACCCATTCGACAGCATGCCCCGCTCCGTGACGCCAGGGTCCTAGAGTCCTAGCCGCGCGGCCCGGCCCGGGAGGCTGACGCCGAGCGAGGGTGCCGTCGGCCTGACTCTTTCGCACCGGTGACACGCCCCGTGAGTGCGAGAGAGAGACCTGCCACTCGGTATCGGCCTGCGGGAGGGGCGGGGGTCGCGGCGGGGCGCGGCGGGGCGCGGCGGGCCCCCAGGGTGGAGCGCAGAGTGCCCCGGCCGCAGCGCCCCGCCCGGGATGTCACTCGGCGGGCCGTCGTCGTCGTCGCGGGCCCGGCCGGCCCCGCTGGCTGGCCTCTGACTTTTAGATGGGGGAAGGCGATTCGATCTATCGATATCGCGGGCAAACGACGCCACGCCGCGCCACGCCGCGCCGCGCCATGCCACGCGAACCCGCTCCGCGCGTGTCCCTGATGGCACGGCGGCGTCGGAGTTTTTTCTTGCTTCGCGTTGCTTCGCGTTGCTTCTCGTCGGGCCGTTTCTCTCTCGTCCCTTATTAACAAGCCACAAAGGCCGGATCACACTAGTCACGAGCCGTCCCACCTGCCCGGACAGTGCCTGGTTACTTCACTCCCAAATTTCCAGATACGTTGTTGAAAAAAAAAAAGCAGTCTGAAAATTCAGAACAATAGACCCTTTTAGTCGCCGCCGAATAAAGAACAAAAGTAATCAAAAAGCCAGGAACCAGAAGGTACGTTACTAGGGGTTTCTGACTTTTTAATTACTGTTGTTTTTCACTCGGCGACGACTGAAAAGGTCTATTTTGTCAACCTTAGCTGGGGCTAATCCGTGCTTTTGGGGCCTCGTTCGAGGTAAATTCGAACGGTGTGCAAGTCCGAGCGGAACTCGGTGATAAGCGAACGCGGACGCAGACATTCGAGCGAGATCATCAAAGCACAGCGCGTCCCTCGAATAAGACACCGTATCGGAAGAGTCCATCTGCTGAGCACGAAAACAGACTCTGATGATAACTTCAATGAGTTTCAATGGAAAACTATTTTCGTAATGTAATATTCAATAGCAAGTTCCCGATACGTCTTCCCTCGCCTGTTTGGGTGTTGGATGGATTTGTCACCTCCGCTCTGTAGACTAGACGGTAGCATGTTCGTGAAGTGCCACTAAGATAGTTTTACCTGGGCCCGCGAGGCGTCATGAGTGACTCCGAACCCAGCGTATTACAAGTGTTGACTTGTAGATCAACGGATTAGTGCGGCGAAAGTGAACCTTGAAATGCGATGTGTTCGGGATGAGCGGCGCGCTAGGCCCGGCAAGGCTATCTGCACAGTGGAGCAGATAACCCGTGTCCCCTGGACAGCGTGGGCCGCTCTATGGCAAAAGTCAAGGGGACGCTTCAGCCGTGCTTCAGCCATGCCTCAGCACGGCGACGCGTCCGCAGCCGGAGCGACTCTCCGCTCGATTGGCGTTTTCAGTGGTTTTCAGTCGGCCGGACCAAGATCTCGGAGCTCGATGACACAGAGTGCAAGGGCCCGGTGTGCTATTTGTGTTCTCGGATCGGATCTCGTATCGGCAGGCGTGGCCACCACGCCCTACCACGCCCCACCGCGCCTCGGCGCCGCCTCGCCTCGCCCCGCCCCTTGGCCCCGGCCACTCGTTTTAACGCGGCATTGAACTCTCACCTGGCGGATTGCTGGGCGAGGGGCGCAGTCTCTGGGCGCAGCCTCTGCGCGCAGCCTACAGGATTGCGCCCTTTTTGCCGGGGTCTAAATCAGGACAAGTCCCCCGGGACCCTCCTCTGGGGGCTCGTTTTACGCGCCCATTTCCCCGGGTGCTCTTTTCAGGGTCCGAAGACGCAGACCCGCGGCAGACCACCGGGCAGGAGGAAGAGAGGCGGGACGTGGCGGGGCGGGGTGGGGCGGGACCGCCGCTAATAAGATAGCCGCACGACGCTAACCACCAGAGCGGTGCGGTGCGTCCTGCTCGCCCTGCTCGACGCCAAGCTCGGCGCGGGCATGCTCGTCCTCCGGCGGGGCTTGCCCCTTCCGCCCCTGGGTGCGACGCCGCGACGCCGCGACAGTTCGAGGGCAGCGACGGCTTGACAACCCCTTTCAAAACGCCTGGCCTGGCGCGCTGGCGCCGCGGGCACAACAACGCGTGGCCTGCCGGTTTGGACGCAACCCTTGGCAGGGCCAGAGGGCCGCGGGCAGCCTCGGGCAATCGGAGGTGTCATTAAAGGTGCGAGGCTGCGAGGCGGTGGAGGTGGGGGCGGGGTGCAATGCAGTGCAACGCAGTGCAACGGCGGCTGCGTTCTGCGCTCGGCCAGTACTCGTCCGAGCCCGGCGCAGGCCACTTCGACGTGAACGTGCCGGAACAGGGGGCAGGGCCCCGCAGCGCCGAGACGGCTGCCCAGCACTGCCTGGCAGGCTGGGCCGGCAGCACCCCACCTGGTGGTGAACCTGGTGGTGAACCTGGTGGTGAACCTGGTGGTGAACCTGGTGGTGAACCTGGCGGTGAGCTGGGTCCGCGAGGCCTGACCTGACCTCACCGTCCGGGCCGCGGTGCGCCCGGGTAACCCCACCCCACCACGCTCAGCCCTGCCCCCCACGGCCCGCGGTACACTGGCTACCCGAACGGTACCCGCTCCTCATTCAACCTCATCCCCATCTCGGCCCGCTCCAGGCAGCTCCAGGCAGCTCCAGGCCCTCGGCAAGCCCCAGGCCAAAGGCCCGCCCCCGCCCGTTGCCCGAAGCGCGCCCCGTTCGAGCCGGCCGGTCTTTTGGCGGGCTGGCTCGGCTCGCCACGGCCCGGTCGTTCGGGCGGCTCGGCGGCCGTTCGGGCGGCGCTCGGCGCGCGTTCGGGCCGCTGCACTAGGAAAGGCTGGCGAGGCACTGGGCAGGACATGTGCTCGATACGAAGCCTCTGGCCAGTTTGGTGTGAGCGGTAGCGGAGGCAAGGGCGGAGAGTGCGCGGAGACGGCGAGGGTGCTCCGTGCCGAGCGAGCCGCGCAGTGCAGGGAGCACGCAGTGAGGAAGCAGACGACACGACTCGCACGCCCAGCGCGGCCCAGCGCCGCACCGCGCACGGCAGGGCACCGGCGCCGGCACACTGTTCAGTGACGTGCCAGCGGCAGCCAGCGGCCAGGCACCGCAGTGGATGACGACTTCCTCCGCAACCCAGTGGCGGTGACAGCAGCGACACCGGGCACGACGACGGCCACCACGGGCCTGTCATAACAACACCAGCTCCAGGATGGGCAAGAAGGGGACCAAGCGCAAGACGAGGTGGCGCGTGCTGCCCATCGGCGGTGAGTGTCTTCTGCTTCTCCCCGGTGACGTGTGTGTGACGTGCCGGCGGGCGTGACGCAGGAGTGACGTGCGTGACGTGCTGGCCGTCACGTGGCGTGCGTGACGGGCCGCGTGACAGTAAACACGCGGAGGGTGGGGGCGGCGGCGCGGCCTGCGGTTATCGGTGCATGGCCTGCAGGTGCGCGCCGCGGAAGTCGCGCCGCGGAAGCTGAAGCCGAAGCCGCGGCCTCAACAAACACGTTGTCTCTGGCGTTGAGGCTGCCGCCGCGCTGCCGGCCGCGTCTAGACAGCTCCGCCCAGGACTAGACGGCCAGCCCGGCGCCCCGCTCGCGTAGCTTCGAGTAGCGAACGCTTCGCCGGCTTGCTTCGGTTCGGCATTATGGATAGCAGAAGTGCCTCGATTACCGCCGCGTCACTTCCGTCGCCACGGCGCCTCGGCCTCGTTGCCGCAGGGCACCGCAGGGCACCGCAGGGTCGTTTTCGTCGCCCTGTCTCTCTCGCACTCGCGGTGCGTCCCGTGTGGGTGCGAGGGGACAGCGACGGCAGTGTAGTGCCGGCGGGCGACGTGCCGGTGGCTGCGCAGTGCTGCGACGCGTCGCGCCGCGAAGGCCCTCCTGCTTCTCATTACGCCGGTTTGCCACGTCTTTGCCGCGGCGCGGTGGCCGTGGTGGCCGGCCCGGCCGAGCCCGGCCTCATTGGAAACTGCCTGGCGGTGTTTCGGCGTGGGTGACGGCCGGTTGACAGCCCGCGGCCCGCGGCGGGGCGGAACCCATTTTCTCGGAGAAACGAGGCTGGGAGGGAATCGGCCGGGCCGGGTCCTCGCCGCCGTCTCGTCGCGTCGGCCCGGCGGTGGCGGTACTGCTCGCCGTGACGCGAGGCTAGATTTACGGGCGCCTGCACTGCACAGCAGAGCGCTTCCGAGACAAGTGCCTGCGTCACCGCACTGTCTCTCTCGCACTCGCGGGGCGCCCCGCCGGGGTGCGAGAGAGACAGGCTGCGCGCTGCGCATCGAGGCTGTGGTCCGCGGCAGTATTTGCTCGTTGATAACGGAAGCGGGCATGCCCTGCAGGCCCTGCAGGAAGGCTCGACTTGCTCGCCGTGATATTTATGTGTCGAGCATCGAGCGGCGCGACACGCCAGGAGAGCCTAATCACGCTGATTGCTGCACTGTAATCTTAATCCGCCGAGCCGCACTTTGTTGCACCGTGCTGCACTTAGTTGCACCGCCATTGAATCGATGAATCGGCGTCATGTTGCACTTTGTTGCACCGCCATTGAATCGTTGAATTAGCGCCGTGCTGCACTTTGTTGCGCCGACATTGAATCGTTGAATTGAATCACCGCCGTGCTGCACTTTGTTTCGTTGGATTGCAGTGCCGTGCCATTCATTTCGCGTGTCGCCGCTTCCTTTCCCTCGCCGGACGTACGCGGCCGATTATGTCCGGCTATTTTTATCTCGAGTAGTTTGGACTGGACGATTTGGCGTTGCGTCACTCGCAGGCCATCCCCTGCCGCCTCTCGAGGGGTTGGGTACTTGCATAACGCGACCGGCATGACGATTACTGTACACTGTAGGCCAGGCGGGCCGTCGCGAAGTCTCCGCCGCCTCGCTTCGCACATTGCTGTTCCGTTCCGTTCCCCCTGCCGTCCTCCTCGTACTCGGTGTCGTGCGCCGCGTCGCCGCGTCGCCGGCAAGCCATCGCGCGGCCTTGGCCGTGCCATCACGGGGCCCACAAAAATTGGACCGCCAGAAACTTGCCAAAAACGATGACGCGAAAACATAATTGGAAATGGTTTTCTCTTGGCAGTGTTCGGAAACTCTTTGCCTTGGTGCGACGGCGGGCCGGGCGGGTCGGCCTCTCCGGTGCTTTGTGCCGTTCCAGAGCTTTCTAGGTCTCCAGCTTTCCAGCGCTCGTATTAAAGAGGAACAAGCGTGCGTGCTTGGGTCCCGTGAAAGGGGAAGGGTCAGGAAGTTGTGGAGGTGGGGGGAGGGGGGCTCTCCACGCGGTAGTTCCCGGCGGCGCCGCGCGGCCGTGCTCGTAGAGCCCGTGACACGGACTTGTCGGCAGGGTAACGTATTGCAAAGTGATGTTTCAGCGTGTGCCGTGCCGTGCCGCGGTGGGGGGCGCCGGCTTCGCTTCAGGTCCGCCGGCGCGGCGAATTTTTGTTTTTGTTTACGAGTGTGTACGCGCGGAGGTACAGCCCGTTGTCGCCGCGAAGGTGGAAGGTGTGTCCCCGCGGCCTCGCTTCGCTTGCCTCGCGTCGGCTTTCCCTCGCCGCCGAGCGCGCCGCGCCGCCAAGCCGAGGGGAAGTCCAAGCCCCTCTGCTTCTCCTTCCGCCCGCGCGTTGACCCGCGAGGTGTTTATTTTTCCAATGGCCCGGACGGACGCGGAGTAATTCGATATAGCGGTTGATGCTGCCTGGTTGCAGCCGGTGTTGAAAGTCTAATTGCTATCCGAAGGGGGAGGGGAGTGGGACGGGTCACCGGGGGTGCGCGTGAGCCGGCGTGAGCCCTTGTCTGAGTCGCTTGTCGGGCTTCGGCCGAGTGCAGGCGGCTTTGACGTTTGGTGAGAAAGGGCCGTGTGGCGTTGTTTGTGTTTGGGATCGGGTCCGCTCCGTAGGCCGCAGGCAGGTGCGCCCCTGCGCCGCCCCTGCGCCGCCCCTGGGCGTTGCCACGCCCCCACGCCCCCATTCCACGGACGGACGCGGCCCGCAGTCGAGTCTGCGTGTATCGGGTTCCGAAAGGCTTTCCGAGGAAGTGCGCGGCAGACTGGCGGTGAGCGCGCATGCACGTCGCTGTCATCCGATGACTGGATTTCACGCGCGACATTGTTGCCGTGCCGCGGGGGTTGGTTGACTCGACTCCGGGCTGGCTGCTCGGTCTGCCCGCCTGCCTGTCTGGCTGGCTGCTGGGATGGGGCTCCGCCGAGTGTGGGGCGGTGCGGTCCTTGACAAACACACCCGTTGCCGCGACGCGACACGTCCCCCGCCGCCGTGCCCCGGGCCCCAGACTCGGCCCCAGGCCCCGCTCGTCGTGTTCCGTGCCGACGGGCGAGTCCTCGTGGACCCGGCGTGTCGCCGTCACTCTGGAAGGGTTTGTTACCTGCAGGGAATGCCCGGCCGAGGCTTTGGCCTGGCCGCCTGAGCGCTATGTTTAGCGCCCGTGGGCTGGCCGGCAGGCGGGGCGCGGCGGGGCGCGGCGGGGCGCGGCGGGGCGGGCGGGGCGGGGCGGGGCGCGGCTCTGTATCGCACAGCGAGCCCCCGGCCGGCACCCCCTGACGGCCGGCCTTTTGGACCGCCGCCGTGTCAGCACTTCGTCAAGATTGCGTCAGAGACGGTGCGTCAGGAATGGGATCAGGCATTACTCCCCCGTCCTTCCGCAGTGCACGCATTGCATAGCAGGGGGCGCAGGGCTGCCTCGCGCCGTCTGTCTGCGCACGGCGGCGCGGTCTTGCAGTGCGTCAACCTGGAGTGTCCCGGCCCGGCTGTCCCAGGGGCGCTCCCCCGCCCCCAGACAGGCTGCACCTGTTATCTATGCGCAGGGCTGGGAGGCCTGGGCCCGGGGCCGCCCCGCCCAGCTGGGCGTTTGTCTCTCACGCCTCTGCGAAGGCAGCCGGGGAGACCCAGACGGAGACCCCGGCGTGGCGAACGAGGGTGTGAGGCAGGTAGGTGTCCGAGGCGTCGGCCGCCGGGGACCTCGAGTCGGCCGGCTGTGCGAGACGACGGCGATGTTGCTCCTTGGGGCTTTGGGGCCTTATCGTGGTCCTCGGCGATAACGTGTAGTGTCACCCCTTCTCGATTTCCGTGATGCTTTATCTGCCCCCCGCTTTGGGCCGCCCCTGGCCGCCCCGGCGGTCGGGATGTACTCTGTCGAAACTCGGGCGGCGATGCTGGCGATGCCTGCCAACCACCACGCCGCGCCACGCCTCGGGGACAGAAAGAGGCCGAGCTACATCGTGGGTCCGCCGGCCCGCCTCGCCCCTCCCGGCCGCCTTGCTCGCCGCGCGAAGATTGATCGCGCTGATAGCGGAGGGGCATTTCGGCTCGCGGTGAAGGCTGGGGTTGCGGGTTCAAATCGCGCGATTGTCATCTTTTTTGCCCCTCTAGCGCCCGTAGAGGCGCTTGTTTACTTCATTATGGACGGCCGGGTCGGCTGATAGCCGTGAGGTGGCGCGGCGTGGTGGGCGTGGGGCGCGGCGTGGGGCGCGGCGTGGGGCGGCCCGATGGACAAGGAAGTGAAGTAGGCCGCCTCGCCGCCGCGCTCTTCGCGACAAACGCCGAATGCCTTTTCCAAGTATTTTCCGGTGTGGGGCTTTACGGCAGGTCGGCGAGGCGGAGCTTGTCGGAAACGCGTTGACACACTCGTCGCGCGGACACGGACGACAACGCGGCCGCCGTCCCGGTGTGCATGTTCGCACGTCCTTCCAGTCCTGCCACATGAGTGGGCAAAACTTCCTACCGTGCACCGGTGTGGAAGGGGTCGCCAAACCCCAGTAACCTCCTGGATAGCGAAGCCGGGGTATCATGTATTGCCTAGTAGGCAGGCTGAGGTTTCAATGGCAACCCTTTCGCCACTGGCGCATGGCGGGAATTTTCGTCAAGTATACTTCTGTGTGGTGGCACTGCGTCCGTTCAATCAGCTCGCCTTGTGTGCGCACTTTTTTCCCGCGCGAAATTCGGCGTTTGTTTGACGTGAAGGGGGCGGCGGATTGGTGGTCGCTGGCAGCACGCCTTCGCTTGATATGGAAATGGCGCTCGTACGTGTACATATGTACCGGTGCGAATGGCTTGGGTGCGTTTGCTTATGCATGGCCGCGTGGCTCTCAGCCTTTCGGCGGCTCGCGTGGAGTGGAAGTGAGGCCATAGAGAGCTGGTCTTAATGAACGGGAGAGGGGGGGGACGGGTTGCGCCCCTGTGACGTCCTCGTCCGCGCTCGCGGACCAGCGCTCTGGTGACCCGGTGCTCATGACTGCTGCCGGCCTGCTGGCCTGCCGGGTCA